CTCTTTTACCTACCGAGGACATCAAAGCAAGAATCGATCGGAAAAGCAAGACAAGCTTTCACTACTCTCAAGTCTGTGTGGAGATCAACAGCACTCAGCATCAAAAATAACATCCGAATTTTCAACTCCAATGTGAAGCTAGTCAGTGCTACCATATGGATAAGAGACTTGCACTGCGCGTCACAAAGAGCATCTCAAACAAACTACAGACCTTCATTGACAGCTAGCTGTCTTCGCTCAATACTACTGAAGATCAGATGGCCGGCAGGCCAGAAAAGATCAGCAACAGGGATCTCTGGCAATGAGCGAACCAACACAGCAAGAACCGATTGTGCAGTACATAGGCAGGAAGAAATGGAGATGGATTGGCCATACTCTGAGGAAACCAGCAAGTGACATCACTAGACAAGCCATTGGTTGAGTGGAACCCGAAAGGGAAGCGGCGGCGAATTGGTCGTCAGTACAAGGGTGACTTGGAGGAGGTGATGTGAAGAGGAGATGAAAACGTGTGGGCAGACTTGGAGCCAGGTGAAGAATCTAGCAGAGAACCGAAAACAATGGAGACGGGTGGCTGAAGCCCTATGTTCCTCTAGAAATTAAAGGAAACAATAATAATAATCAGAGAGTCCATTTACTTTGAACTATCCGAATTCTAGCTGACTAATTGAGCGAAATGATATTACACACATAGAATCAAATTATAAATTAGATATTTTGAGGTTAAAAATCATTACAGTTTTCTTTGGAAACCGTATTAGAATGCATGATGTGCTTTATAACTTAAATGATGATTAAGAAAACAAGCAAAGCCACATAGTATTCAAAGGATGGTACATTACAATGTATTTGTTCCACAGAGGAATTACAAGAAGAATGCCTGATTCTCGAAAAGATGCTGACAACGAGTGGTTAACCTCAGAAATTCACTGACCAAGTCCGGAGAAGATGTGAAGTTTTTAATGTCAAACTAGTCGAAATAGAAAAGAAGCCTACCTTCATTTAGCCCAATTTTGAAGGTGATAGATAATTTGTAGGAATAGTTAACGGAATATTGAATACCTCACTAATCAGAACCCATCCTGAAGCTATATGGTACCTGTGTATCGGACAACGTCGTCTTTGAGGCAGTTAAACGTCGACATACATTAGACACCCTTCTTATGTTAACTCTGACTGTGTATAGAGGCTTACAAGTATGTGCAGTAGCAGGTCATGAGTTTTCTAAAATTATTAACAGAAAAAACAGTACAATTATCCTCAGGTTTGTCGAAACAGTTACTATCATATGCCTGAAACTCGATTCATGTGTTAAGAAAGAAGCTATTATCATTCGTTCCTTGACCTGGTAACTGGATGTTTTTACTCTCTTACTGTCTCTCTCTCTTTCAACTGGTTACACAATCTTTAGCTTTAACTCCACCCCCTCCTTTAGTGTAGTGTAATTGCACTTGTCTCTTGTTTCTATGATTCGAGTAAATCTCAGCACATTGTTACTTAATTTATTAGTTACTCATCATCTTATCCACATCTTGTACTTATTACGTAACTGTCGCCGTTGCATCCAAGCGTTCACTTTTTTATTAAAGCTAAACTTTCTGTGTGTGTATAAGACAAATAAGTATTCCAGAAGGAGCGGTAGTCTTCTACTGACCTACACCAACGATACCCTATCGCTATGTGGTCTATCTGGGTTCAGTGTTGACTTGGTGATGGAGATCTCCAGGTTACACAATGTCTGTCTTTGTGCCTAAAGTTAGTATTGACTAGGAACAGATAGTTATCTGAGAAGAACTGCAGAAGACGATCGCCGTTGTCGGTTCATTTGCAGGGAACTCCATACTTACCACCTACATACTTCTCAGTCTGGCACAGCTTCCCTACTTGGGCATGGAAGTCGCCTGCTAAAACAACTATATCTGAACGTTTTGCTTTTTACAGCAAATTAGACAGTTTCAGGTAGAAATCATCCTTTAGTTCATCCTAACTGCAATCTCTTGGGGTGTAAGAGGAGACTACGAAAAGACAACGACAGGTAACGCCGTCCTTTCTTCTTCTAACGGACCCGCTCAGACGGACCGCACACAAACGACTATCTAATGAGATCCATTCAAGAAGTGATTTTTCTGCCCTAACACTCAACGCTATCCCTACACCTGTGAGTCCTCGCGAACTAGCTGAGGGGTCCCCTGACACTCTTGAAGTGAATTTTGCAGGTACACCTTGTTGGCCGGGTGAGGTTACGTGAATGACCACACTTGGGTCTTGTATGCGAGTCTCTGAAACACAACGCACATCCATGGTTCTAGATCCCAGAGTTCTTGCTAGTGATGCCTGTTGTCCGATTTGGCAGAGGGTCCTGACGTTGAATGCTTCTATATGAAGTTGGTGACGTGGCTTTAAGAGGCTATCGGGGGGTGTTTCTGTGGCTCTCATTGTTATTTGTGATCACGTAGTGAAGTGAAGATGACTCACTAGCCTGAAGAATAGTACTAACTGTAGTAGGGGAGTAAGATGATGAAGGTGATGTGGGTAAAGGAGAATGATTCTCGGGGAGGCTTCGCGTGCTCGTGAAAGTGTATGGGCGCTTATTACTTCCCGGCTGGCCACACCTTGAAAATTGATTGATTCTTCGGGTACCTGAAATAGAGAGAGGATTAGTGTTGCGTGACCGTAGAACCCAGGGGACGACTGCTTGAGGCCGGCCGGTCACACACGGCCTGTATGAACTGGTTTCTGTGATTGGTTCCGTATTACTAAATTTACCACCGGTTACGGACCAACGTAGGGAAAGTCGGGATGTACAGTTTTTAGGGTTGACCTTTTCTAACCCCTTTTCTCCACAGTGGAGAGACAGCGTAGCTGGCTGGCATGCTGGTCATCTGAGGAAAACACCTTACTGAGATTGTTACATCCCTGTTCCTCAGCATAACGACTTCACCCACAGACCCACAGCATAGTGTAAAAAAATTCTTACACTCTGCCGGTAACTGCTTTTTATCTAATCGCTATCCTAACAACCTTCCTGGCATGGTAGGACCTGAAGGTATAACACTTCCAGTCAGTGCAGCTTGTTAGGTCAGTGCGATATGCAACCCAACCACCACGTCAGGGTAGCAGCTATGGTAGCCAACCCTGATTCTAAGTACTCGTTTTGTACTCAGACTGGACTGTATAGCTGCCTGACAGCACTGTTGAGATAGTTTGAAGTTTTTGGTGTTATTATTTTTTTAATAAAGACACAGATAGTGGTAGCAGCTAATCACATCCCTGCTGTCTTTGTAGCGTTTCGTGACTGTTTGTGTCTCAAGAAAGTTTTACCAGCTATACCGTAGGTCTCAGAGATATGTTTCCTGAGTCACTATACTGGAATCCAAGGCTTCCTGCCAACTGCCTCCAACCATCTGATATCATCATATCTTTACAGTACTGTTACCACTGAAATGTGGAGACGAGACTATTTTCCGTGTCAGAAACTTTGGTTCTCATGGCATGTTTCAATCACTGATTAATTGCAAATATTATTAAATCTAAGTTAACGTAAGATAATGCTTCGGTGGCATAGCGGTTAGGACGCTCGCCTTTACCTCACGAAGCCAGAAATAAAGCTGGTAAAGGGCAAAGGTTGGGCATGAGGCTAGCAACCTCATCCTGTAAAAATAAACACTGTTAAAGAAACTTCAAGCCACTAGCTTGAAGCCCTATGTTCCACGGGGAACGTGAAGGAATAAAAAAACTAAGATAATGACCTGGTGAAAAATTTTCCTATGATTAAATATAATCATCAGCCAGTGAACAGCTCTACTGAACCTTCACAAGAACGAATTCTTCGACTTCTAATCAATTCTACGTCTAAAAAATGCAGGGATGTTTCATCTTCATCAATATTTTAGGAGATAAATCCGTTACGGCAAGCATTTAACTTGAATCAAGTGGCAGAATACTTTGAATTCACTTAACAAATCTGAATGCTCCGTTCTTTAGTGCGGTCGCACTCCTTCTGTAGTCAAAGTTTAACTTGACCCAGTTAAGCTGTCATATATTGTATTCTGTATTCCAGTGAACTATATTCTACTTGAAGGCGACTTGCTCAACACTTGAGCTACCGAATATCCTCCAAAAATGTATTGCATATATAATTCCTCTTATTCAGTTTGTTTAAATCTAGTAAAATATGTCCTCTAACACAGTATTGTTTACTCTGGCGAGTATTTTAAAACATTTACAACTTACTCATTCGTCAGTTTCTACTAACTGTGAGAAAAAGCATTATCCACCTGGATGACAGCTTATCCCAAAAAATGAGATAAATGATCCTGAATGGTGTCGTTGGTTTAATAAAATATACCCCTGAGGCTTTTATAATTTGCATTCAACAATATGTCGTCTTGTATTTCTAGAAGGATAAAGAGAAGAGATATCATAATGGTGGATTGGTTTGCTCTTCAGTATAGACACAACTGTGTCATACGATCTACTGTCAACTAACGAATTTCTGATCACAGGATTTCATCATGAGCTGACTAGCTGGCTAGCGGTCATGCAATGTCGTGAATTGGCAGAAGTTATAATTCATGGGCTGGCCACTGGATCGGATCCCAGTGGCTTAATGGTATACAAGCTAGCTCGCCTTGTAACCAGAAGGTCCTGGGTTCGGACCCCAGTGGATGCTACTGAGAAGAGTCCCGAACTAGGACGAAACAGTTATCCAGTACTCCCCGCAGCTTTTCGAATGGTTCTCTAACCGATATCAGCTCATGATGAAATCCTGTAACCAATCAATTAAATCTCTACAAACCAATACTTGAAAATCGTTTTTTTTATTTGAAGATCGTGGACGAAGACAGCAAATATCATGCAGTGATCTCTCTTGAAACTTCTCCACATTCAATAAACATTTTTTCAAAATAAAGCTATTACAATTACTAGTATTATTCACTTCAGGTCAAGTTACACACCACAACAATGAAACAGAGATATCATCGATTACGAAACTGAAACATCGCCTATTTTTTCAAAAAGAAACGTTAGTTCAATTTTCAATTTTATTATCTTCTTGTGTTTTCACTTCTTTACAATAAATTACACACAAGATAGCAATCAATACAATGACAAGAGAAAAGGAAAGAAAAGAATAAAATTGAAGAAAAGTTGAAAAGTTCTTTTTTGTTTGTTTTTTAATCTCTTTTTTGTATGATCAGGAATGAAAGGCTCGAGTATAATAAGAAAAAAAATAAGAAAAATTACGTTTTACAATATTATTCGACATTGAAACACTTTAACACATTGAATGCTGAACACAAAGAAAGGGAAAGTGCATTATGGGTTTCAGTTTACGTCAGATATCTGTATCGCATAAAGTATGATCAATGATGCGATGAATAAATTTTTTTGTATAATAAAAATGAATAAAGGAATGAATAAAAACAAAATTGAAAAAGATATGGATACATATATTTATATATCGTGTACAAGTTTAAAAATAAATAAGCACTTTATATTGACCGCCAAAAAAATTGAAATTACAAATAACCAATTAAAACAAAAAAACAGATAGATGAATATTTGTGCATTATCGATTGATTTCTATTTTGTTAACTTTTCCATCAGGAAATATCGACATGAAAAGGATATTTATTCATTTCAAGGAAATAATCTTCCAATTCCAATAGACCATTAATATACTCCTGTTGGTTGAGAAGAAAATAAACGAAATATGTGATCATTATTAGGCTAATGATACCTAGAATCAATAGAATTCTACGGAATACAGATAATTATAGGGGGATAAACTTGAGTAATGAGTAACTTAAGTGAATATCCCCTTTAAATGTAACTTTGTGGTCCGTTGCTATAGAGATTCATTGACAAATTATACTTTTTAGATGCTTTTTTAACGAAAATTTTCCTGGCGTACATATTATCAGTAGTATTGTATATTCTTGAACTGTGTTGCACATTTGCTGAACTTTTATCAGAAAATCTGGTTTACTACTGATATCTCAGAAATGTAATGGAGGATTAAAGAAAGCAGTAAGTACAATATTTAAACGTATTTTATTGGATTTTCAGGAAATCCTGTTGGTATATAGTTTGGCCTATTTATTGAAACGCCCTAACATCCATCAGATAAAGCAGATGGCGCCAGTTCAAAAAGAAAACGATATGCCATATATTCGCCCAACTCAACTAATATAGTATCTAAAGGTTTTGGTTCATGAATGAGCTGAGTGGCGTTCAAAAGAAAATCAATAAGGTTTTAGGCCATGACGAGGGTATATTGATCGTGTCGTCATTCTTCAACAAATTCTAGGACATAAGTATGCGTACTGGTGGAGAACACTTGCCATTACTTACCAGCTACTCACGTGGTCAGGGGTTCTATCTCCGACCGATTCACTCCTAAACCTCGCTTATGAGGCGGTAAGCCCTGCCGACGCACACCTGATATCTATGGTCGGCCTGCGAAATTTGGGCTACCGATATCACATGCTGAAAATTCCATGCTTGTACCAAAAATACTGTGTGGTTTCAAGTTATAATAAAAAAAGCGCGTGAGACTAGTAACCCCAACCCGTAACAGCAAACACCACTGCCAATAAAGCTTCAGTGTTCCACTGGGAACGCAAAGGGATGAAAAAAGTGATAAAACAACACTTGCCATGTTTCTTAACCTGAAGGCTGAATTCCACTCCATCAATCGAGAGATAGTGTGGTAATGTGAAGGTGCCGAAAAAGTATACCACTGTAATCAGGGCATTCTACTCGAAATCACTCAGTTACGTAAGGTTTTATAGAGAGTTTTTATCTGTGACAATGACCAGTAGTGTGTATTAGGATGCCCACTCCCCCCATTTTTTGTGCTTAATTTACTCGTAGATGTACTAGTGGCATTGACCCTAACAGACTTAAGGGACTCAGAGATACACTTTTTACCAGGAAACAGTCTTGCTGACTTAGAATATGGGGATGACACTGTCCTCCAAGGTCGAGACACCAACATAAGGCGGACTCTTGACTGTCACTCTAATTCACGTCGAAAGGTGTAGTTTGACTAGCTGAGATTGTTGGGAGATTGTCGGGAGACTCATTGTTGGGAGACTGTTCTCACTCAACGGCATAGATGCGTTCACCCCGTGTAATCTTTTATATTCATTACACTTTCGCGTCTTTCCATGTCACTATTCTTTCCTTTCTGTAGGAATATTTATGCTGAGGTTTTCTCGTCCATTATTCCACACTGGTATTAATATCGATTATTTTGTTGACCTTAAAGTTAACTTTCTTTTTGGAAAAAAATTATCCTTTGCTTTCCTTGTGGAACAGAGGGCTTCAACAGTGAACTTTGAAGCCTTAATAGAAGTGATGTTTAGTTTTTTTTACGATGTTCGGTTGCTAATCTCAAAATCAAACGTCTTTTTCACCACAGGGCTTACTACCATGCAACAGACCCCATGTGGAGAACAATAAGACAGGAATACGTCGGAGCGATAAGAACACTCTAGAAGATTTGGACTTCACGGAGGATTTGTGTCGAATGTCGCGTAAACTCAAAGTTCCACACACACGAAAACCAACGAGTTGGTAGAAGAGGTTGGCAGTGAAGACAGGACATCGAGTGAACATAGAGAAGATGGAGGTGATGAAGATAACCAACCAACAACAACAAGTATCAATCACTAGTGACGGGAGGAATTTGAATGAGATCAATTCTTTCACTTATTCGGGTAACATCCTTTCAACTACAGGAGATGGCACAAATCTGGATTTCAAAGCCAGTCATGAACGGAAAGGCAAGAAAGGTGTTCATTACTCTGAAACTTGTGTGGAATTCTACTGCAATCAGCATAAGGGAACAAGATTCAGATTTTCAATAACAATGTCACGTCAGGCCTTCCATATAGTTGGGGGGGAGATTCAGTGAGTCACGAAAAGCATTTTCTACCAGGCTACTGAAGATCAGATGGTCAACCAGGAAGAAGATAGACAACAGGAAACTCTACGAACGTACCAATCAAGACTCTATTGCCCAATAAATATGCTGAAGAAGGTAAGGATGAATCAGACACATACTGAGGAGGCTGTTGATTCATATCGCGTGCCAGGCCGTTACTTGAATAAAACTGGTATGGAAAACGACAAGTAGGGCGTAAGTCTGAATGGACATTGGAGGAGATGGTGTAAGGAGATAAGACTTTATAGTCGATCCTGGAACCAACTGAAGAGGGTTGTAGAGAACACCAAGGTGATATGGAGGTATTCTTTCTAAGACCTATTTTTCGGTAATCGGTTGAACTAGTTTTCTAACGTATGGATGGAGTTCTTATCGAAAATTTCAGAGACTAGAAATAATCCACTAAAAAGTGTGCTTAAGTCAAAGAAAGATGACGATAATAGTAATAATAATAATAATATTAGTGATGGCAAACGTACACGTGATGGAACTGGTGGTCCTGTACCTCCTAGACCACTGTTACACGGCAGGAGATGTGGAGGGATAGCAGCATGAAGACTCTCCAAAGAATCGTTATGCATGATAATCTACAAAAAATATAAAACAAATCAATTCTAATTTCTCAATCAATATTACACATATAATGAGAATAAAGATAATTAAAATGATGTATTAAGTGGGCCGGGTATAGTTGAAGTGGATGAATTACAAAACTCTTAAAGATTATTAAATAAGTGAACTGGTATAAAGATTTTCAAAATTGTAGGTCAATTGTTGTCTAAAAAATTAACAGTGTGATGATAGGGATAACAGTAAAGACGACAAAGATGAAGTGGCGTGGAATGAATTCAAGTGGTGACACTATCACTGAAGTCATTAAAAGTCGTTTATCTAAATGTATTAAACGCTCTCATTTTATGCAGCTGACTTACATTTAGTATTTACCAGCCAAAATATGATTCGACAATGAGTTAAAGATAAACTACCGTTTATGTCCACCTCTATGTGCATATACTCATTCACATGGTCGCGTGGAGCTGATTACATTGGATGTTGTAAGCGTGTTTTCCGTAAACGCGTAGCTGAACATTCCCCAGTTTGGTTAATGAAAGGTGAGCATAGGGTGGTGAAGTCTTCAATTTGTGAACACATTCTGGAGTGAGGTCATTCAGCCCCATGTGATTTATCCTTCAAATTTATTTACAGGACCAAATCCAATCACTCCAAAATTTCACGTTTACTGCCGTTTTATTCACAGTACCTCAATGTTTATATTTGTCCCCTCCATCTTTTATGACAGCTGAACCCTATTGGTAGTTAACTGTTCTAACTTATCAATGAAATTATTGTCTCTCCAGGTCAATCAAAACTTATTTAAATGCGGAATTACTGTCAAGCCTTTTCGCTGTTGATTCAAGACATTAAGACTCTGCGCCTTCTTCCGTTTTTCTTTGCATCGTGTATCAGTGGTGTCACGTTGTGGCAGTGCTGAATAGTGATTAGAACGGTGGGCTTGCAAATCTGCCAGACAGGTAAGTTCGTTAGCTCAAGAGACTCATAAACTTTCAGCCAAGTCGTATTGACGGTCGTATCAGAAGTATTATTTTCTTCACAACTGAAGACACTTCCACCGCTTTCCAGATGGAAAATGTCTCACTACTAACTGACTCTTAGGCATCTACTAGTCGACTGTTGAAAGCTTATGAGTTGAACTTTATTTTTGTTTCACTTCTGAGGTATCATAAAATACACTATTGTGGGATAACGAACGGATCTATTCTCATTGTTTTATTTCTAATTTTATTTGTGTATTGAGCTCTCGTGAAAAATTTCATCGCCCGATATCTGAACTTGTACAATACGGAAATGCCTAATGGACAGTATTATTTCGCATATTATTAATCCCCTCACCACCCTTATAGATTATTTCTCTTCGTTCTTGTCTAATCCCTAATTTCAATACTTCTGTTTGCTGTTGTGTGGTATTGTTGCTAATGTGTTCTTTTACGACTGTAATTTTGTTTGAATAAAGTGAAAGTTTGCCGTAGGGATTTTGAATTTGGATTCCCTGCAGGAAGTGTTTGGTGTGTGTGATTCTTACTGACAGAGTTTTTCACGCCATCTTGTTGAGAATATTCTTCCGCTTAATTTTAGTTATATAATTTTGATTTTGATAATTATTTTGTACTTGAGAAATCGTTGGATTGTGTGTATACTCGTACAACCAAGTAAAGGAACTCAACGATACCCTATTTGGCCCGTGTTCTAAGTAACAGAGACAATGTTAAGCGTGAAACCTATAACTTGCTTTGTTATCAACAACATAATTTTAGGCTCTTTTATTTCTCTCTTATTTTGTATTCTGTAGTGAACTCCTTCTTAAACATACTTAGCTACCTAAATTATTAACATTGGCTTACTTTTTTGTACTTTATTCTATTCCTTCTTTTGTGTATCTACTGGTTCCGACTATATCAGCACTATGAGTAGTACAAAATTGTCCTGTCATTAACCATCATGTAATCATTAGTTTTTGTGGTTGCTTTATTTTTTGTTCGACGATATTAACTGATAATCACTGGTTGTGAACGCCATCGTCACCACCTTAAAAATTTTGTATTATGCAGGATTACTCACACTACCACTACAAACTCCGCATTAGACCTGACAATAAAAGACAAAATCAACAACCCTGAAATGTTATTTCTTGATTGTTTAGAGTTGTTTCAACCAAATAAACTGACCATCTTTGCGATAAACATTCTTAAATATCATTTCATAACTTCTTGTATGACTACAGCTTTACTGTCACCATGCATAATCATATCATAGCTTCCACTACCCAATACTGAGATATTATTATATGCTGTTTTATTTTTCCTTTCTACTTCTTGTTATTTTTTCTTTTTTGCATTTTTTGTTGTTTTTGTGTTTGTTATTTTGTTGTTGTTGTCTTTTTATTTATTTTTTGAAATACTCCTTTTAAATGTTTGATAAAATTAGATGCAAATATTGTAGATATGTGCTGAAAATTCCACACTGTACCACTAGTAGTGTTTCTGGAATAAAGCAAATTATTATTATTATTAAATGCCGAATAGCATTTTTGAGGAAATTTTGAGTTTTGATGTGTTATTTTCGGCAAATAATGTCATTGGACAGTCGTTTCGTCCTAGCGTGGGACTCAGTCAGTAGGCGCGCATTGGGTTTCGAACCTACGACCTTCCGCTTACAAGGCAGGCTGGTATGCCAATCAGCCACTGAGACCCGATTAAATTGCCAGCCCATGAATTCTAACTTCTAGTAATTCGTGATTTTGGTGCGACTACCAACAAATGTCATCAGCGAGTGTTTGCCCTAACTCCCCACAGGATCGACCCCCCCCCACCTGGTGACGACTTCTCATTAGAACTCCAGGAAACTACGTCCTGTAGCCAGTTACTAGGTTAGAAACCCGGTGGGTGTGTACTGCTGATGAGTTCAAAACTAGAAGGAAACAGATATCCAGTACTCCGTGTTGGTTTGTAATGGCTCTCTAACTGATATCAATCCATGGTCAAACTTGAAAAACAAATTAAATCCCCTACAAGGCAACTCTTGAAAAATAATGCCAGAGCTTTTATCTCAATTAACTGTATTTTGCAGTCGTTGGGGTATTCTCTGACTGTATGTAACTTTCCAGTAAGTTCTGGTTGGCTATACACCAGTAGAATGCACAAAGTGGTCTCCTGCATAGAGACTACAACACGTCGGTTTCTGTCGCTACATAGTAGATAACTTCATCGAGGGGACTGTGTGAATCGTAGAGCCAATTAAAGGAGACTCTAGAGAACCGGGTGATATCGAGATAAGCTGCTGACGTAATATATTTCACTCGGAACCCAAAGGAATAATAATAGATAATAACACCCAGAATACATTCTCCATGTACCAGGCTGTCAACTCACTCACACTATTTGACGTCTGATAGCACAACTCCATTTAACTAGGCTAACGTCTAGTGAAGTTGGCGCCAACTCCAATGAAGCGCACCTCCCTACATATAATAACTGCTAATCAAAACGCAATGAAACCAATCAATTTAAGACAGGCTCTATACATTGATGAACTGAGTGCAATATTTCGCATTTAGAGTAATCACTCATTATAAATTAGCGTACGTCGGGCTTTGTGACAGCCTATATAAGCAAAGAAAGTGTTTCTCTACTATCTGCGTAGCAGTTTACTAACTCGTAGAAGTCTAAGTTGCACCTATTTTTCACATGGTTAAAGATGTTCGATCGATAAAGTGATTATAATTGTACGGAATGATAGGTGATTGCATAATTGTCGAAAAAACCGCTTTTTTAATTAATTTATTAGTAGATTTGGATTTTACGGACAACGACTCATGTCTAGTGTCACACAAGAACGAAGATCTACAGCTGAAAACCAATAAGTTGGAGGAAGAAGAAAAAGAAGAAGCAGGGAAGACAGGACTTCAGCTGAACACACAAGAGACAAAGGTGGTGAAGATAGCCAACAAACCAACCCAACAACAAGCCCCAATCTTCATCGATGGAAGAAATTTGAAAGAGGTCACTTCATTCACTTATGTGGCAAGACAGCATCGTTTCAACTACAGCAGGCGTTACACAGATGATGACGATGATGTAAAAGCCAGCTAGGATCGCGAAAGCACGGTGCACTCTCATTACTCTGAAATCAAAGTCTGGATTTTCAACACTGATGTTAAATTATTTCCTCTATATGGGTCAGAAACTTTGTAAATGTGTCATAAAAAGCATTTTCAACAGATACTTTGATTGGACAATAACAAGTGGCCATGAGTTCAGTCTTTCGTTTGATGCAGACTAAATTCTTTCAGCCAAGTTTGCAATGTGACCAACATGATAGGTAGTTTGCCATCCCAATATACTGGCACTGTGTTATGTTGATATTAGACAGTTGGAGGCCATCGGCAGTCCTTTTTTGAACCTGGATTTTATGCTTGTCGAATTGCACTCACCAGTCAGCATTGTGTATCTGTTACCTTCATGAAATTCATGTCCCTTCTGAGAATCGAACCCGTGTCATCGAGTAGGTGGTTCAGTTAGAGGTTTTACCCATGAGCAATCCGGGCTTGCGATTGACCTCCAACCATCTAATACCAACAGTTCACAGTGCACTGTGTTGGCGAGCCTCCAGATGGTATGGTGGCCACATTGTACACTTGACTGATGGAATTCAGTCTGCTCCAAACAAAAGACTAGGCACACCCATTACACTAGTTACTGACTAGTGTTCAATCAAAGTATCAATTACAATGCCACAGGAGGCTAATCTCGAGACCAAATAGCTCAGTGGTACCGTCTCTGACTGAAAAACTCACTGGTGACTCGGCTTCGAATCTCAGAATGGACGTAAGTTCCTTCAAGGTTGCACATACACCTTGCTGACTGGTAAGTACAATCCAACAAGTACAAAACCTAGGTCAAGCAAGGCTTCCTGTGACCGACTATCCCCACCATCTAATTTCCAACTGACTCTAGGATTTCATCAACGGTTGACTTCGCTCTATATTGAAGAGTACATGTATATCCGGGAA